AGAGAGAGAGAGAGAGAAGGAGAGAGAGAAGAGAGAGAGAGAGAGAAGGAGAGAGAGAAAACCTTACAACACACAAAGTTTGGTCTCTGGTGGATAAATTGGGTTTTCTAGTCAGGCTTGGCCAGTATCGCTCGCCCCTCTTAATGCTATTCTGGAGAGCTGGAGGCATTGACCAAAAACCTTAAAATAAGGAAATGGGCTCTCTCTTCTGGTGGGGGGGAAGCTGGGGGGGTTGCAGCTTCATCAGGCTGACTGTGTGTCCCCCCCCTCCGGCTTTCCCTGGGCAGGGTCCTTGTGGGGAACCCCCTCCGGTGTGTTTGTGGCCTCCTGTGGTTGCAGTCCTGGCAGCAGAAGAGGCAGCTGGACTGGGCGGGCAACCAATCCTTCCAGTGCCTGCAGGAGGACAGGAGGCTGGTGCCCGTCTTCAACCTCACCCTCTCCGGCTGTGGTAAGGCAGAGCCCCCCCTCAGAGGGAGACACCCCCCTGGCCGAAATGCAGTGGGTCCCAGCCCTGTCGAGAGCTCCCCTTGCTCCTTTGGCTGCTGCAAGAGAGTCCCTCTGCAGCTGGGGTGGGGTGGGGGGTTGGTGGCTCCCTGAAGCCCCCATTCTTCCCCCCCCCACCCCTGTGCAGATTTCCCCCAGGTCAGGATCGACTACGACCCCACCCCGATGGGGGAAGGCGAGAGCGTCAACCTGACGTGTCACATCTCCGGACAGCCGCAGCCGGTGGCCGACTGGGACTTGCCCAAGGTGTGGGGTGAAGCCCCCATCAAAACCAAGGCAGGTTGTGGGGAAGGACCGACCTCAAGCATGAGAAATGGGGTGGGGGCATTAAATCAGAGGGGGCGCCTGGTGGGTGACGCCTGTCTCTCCCTCTCCCAGAAGTCAGATTCGGAGATTGTGCTGCAGATCACCAACATTTCTGCCAGCTACAACCTGCAGAACATCACCTGCCAAGCCGAGAACGAGGCGGGCATGGGGGAAGCCGTGGCCAGGCTGAACGTGACCTGTGAGAGGGGAAAGGGGGCTGGGGCAGGGGGGGCTGGTGGGACGTCCTTTCCAGCTGGCATCCAGCAAAGGGGGCTTAGAAGGAGGGATTCGCTACCTGCCTGTGTTCTGCGGCTGGGAGATATTTTTCCTGGCAAGGAGGGTACCCAGGTGCCCCCACGCCTGGCAGACTGAGGGCCTCTGAGCAAACCAGCAGAGAAACAGAGTGGGCTCCCTCCTCGCTGTGGGGAAGAGGGCAGCCTGGGGGTTCAGGATTCTGCCACCCAGCTTGTTGCTGAGCCAAACCCAGCACAGAGCTTCATGCCCTGCGTCCGAACGGCCGTTTCTAAACCCTTCCTCGTCCCCTGCCCCTCTTGGGGTCTTCATCTGGCAGTGGGGGGAGAGCGCCTGGCCCAAACACTGCCCTCAAGGCTCGCAAGGGAAGGATTTCAAAGGCCGTCCGATTTGGGGTTCCCCTCACAGGCCCCCCCACCTTTCCTTTCCCTCCTCTCTGCAGTCCCTGCCGTGATCCGGGCGCTGAGTAAGGCTATCATGTACTACCGCTGGTGCATCCCCTTCTCGGTGGATGGCAACCCCACGCCCAGCATCCGCTGGCAGCTGGACCACCGGGACCTCCTGGAGACGGAGATCGTTTACACCAAGCTCTTCCCGGAGGACATCCCCACCACGACCATCGTCCACGGCTGCCTGGTCCTCGACAAGCCCTCCCACTTCTCCAACGGAAACTACACCCTGCTGGTGGCCAACGCCCTGGGATCGGACTCCCGTACCACCTTCCAGCACTTCATGGAGAACCCGGAAAACTTCCCCTATGACATACCTTTCCCCGGTACCAGCCTCTGTGGGCCGGGGATGGCCAGGGCTGGCCCTCTGGGTGGGGCACGGGGGGCTCTGCAGCCATTAAAGAGGCCACTGAGTGGAAATAAAGCCTTCTTCGGCCTCGTTGCAAATAACCGAGTTGAACTGGGCCAGGGGACTGAATCTCAGGCCGGAGAAAGCACAAGGGAGGGAGAAGCCAGGCGGGGGGCCTGCAGTCTCTTTCTCTGGACGGCCCCCCAGGGGGGAGAGAGCCCTGCGAAGTAGAGGGCAGGCATGGCTGTTTGTCTGCACGGGGGTGGGTGTTTGTGTGCAAGAAAGAGAGAGAGGAGGAGGAGGATTAGAGGGGAAGAAGGCAGTTCAAGGGCCCTTCATTTGAGGGGGGGGTGGCACCTGAGCTTGAAGGTTCACCAACTCCTCCCCCCTCTTCTCCTTCCCTGGATGCTGCTAAGGCTCCCACACGCCTGGCAGTAAGTGTGGCCCCCTTTTGCCCCTGGAGGGGGGAGGGCATGCAGAAAACAGGGTGCTTTCCAGTGGAGAGACCCCCCCCTCTCTCTCTGGGGATGAAGGCACCCACAAAGACCCTTTGCACCCGAAAGAGAAGAGATGGGGGGGGGAAGAGACAGTTATGAGGGCAGCGGGAGGGGGAGGCAACTTGGGGAGGGGGCTCTGACTCTCTTCTCTCCTTCCTGCCCAGGACCAGAGGACACGAACGTCACCGAGGACGGCCCCGTGGAGACCCCGGAGGAGCACCCGGTTGGGGTAAGGGGCCAGGAAGGAGCCCCCCCTCTTGGGGCGGGGGGAGGAGGGGGGGCATTCTCAGGGGGAGGGGCAGCCGAGGGTGCCACTCTCTCTCTCTCTCCCCCCCACTCGGCAGATCTCGGTGGCGGTGGGCCTGGCCGTGTGCGCCTGCCTCTTCCTGTCTATCATGCTGGTCTTCCTCAACAAGTGTGGACAGCGCTCCAAATTCAGCCTCCAGCGTAAGTGGGAGGGGGCTTCGGCCTTCCCTGAGCCCCCCACCCTTCCTCTTCCTTGGGCTTCTCCAGGGCTGGGCACCTTTGGGGTCCCTCCGGTGGCTCCCAAGGGCAGCGGTGGCCATCCGTGCCCTGACTGGCAGAGACCCGACCTCAGGGCTGGGGAAGGGGAGGCATCAGGGTGAGGAGGAGCCCCCCACCACCACCTTCATTAGCCTTCCTCCGCCTCCCCCCCTTCAGGCAGGCATCAGCTGCTAATTCACTGCTGGAATTGATTCAGCCTGTAAATGGGCTTGATCGCCCTGAATCACCCCCTGGGGGGCTGGAAAGGCAGCAAAAGGCTTTGGGGGGGGGGGGGGGGGGGAGGGAAGCAGCAGCCACTTGTTGTTGTTAGAGTCATCCAGACACCCCCCCCCCAAACACACCACCCACACCACCCTCCCCCTCTTGGAGTGCTGCTCCTGCTAGGCTGGCCGAGAGAGCTGGCTGGTGCTGCTTCTGAGGCTGCCAGAATGGGGGCATAAGAAGCTGCCCCCCCAGGCCGGCCAGTTCCTCCCCCCTCCCCATTGGCAGGTAGACTTCAGCCACCTCTGGCTGCTCCTGTAGAAGCAAGGTTGCCGGGGAGGGGAGGCCGTGGAGACCCCCTGCCCAGGTCAGCTCAAGAGTCCCTTCTGGTCCTGCCAGGGGAAACCTGAGACCCTCCTGGAAGCCCACCGCCCCCTTCCCCCCTCCCCAGAGCGGCTCTGGAGCCGTTCCCTCCCCCCCCCCCCCCCCCCCAGGCCAGGCTCCAGCAGCCATCCCTGACGTTGATGAAGAAGGATGGGGAGGGGCTGGGGGGGCACGGACCCTCTCACGGTAATTACTGAGGCTTAAATGCTTTGCTGACGGCTCCCTTGGCACTGCCTGCCTTTCAGGAGGGGGGGGGCACCACATTGGTGCGGCAAAGAAGCCCCTCCTCGCCACCGCAGGCAACAGATGTGCTCCAGCAAGAGCTGATCGGCACTGTCTCCTCCCGCTTGTTGGGTCGGGGGGCTCCCGTGGAGGACCCTCTGGAAAAGGGGGGTCTCAGCAGCCCCTGGCCTGGGCTTGAAACTGGCCAGGGAGGGAAGGGAGACCACCAGGAAATCCCAAACTGTCAGATAGGAAAGTCAAAGATCACCGCAGGAGAAGCGGCCTCTGCAAAATTTGCACCCGGACTTCGAAACGCCTTGAAAATTGTGGGGCTTATTCTCTCCCCCCCCCACTGCCCCCCACCCGGTAAAGGCTGTTTGTAGCCTCTGCTGGGACGGCTCTTCCCCAGGGAAAGGGAAACCCTCCCAGGCAGGCGGGGCTTCCCACCACAAGGCCACCCCAAACCCTCCCAGCGGCCGCATTCTCCCTTGACCCGGCCGGGCTCTTTGGGAAGAAGGCTGCCCTCCCCCTTGAGAGCCCCCGTGGCTGTTGGGTGCCTGAGCAGCTGACCCACAGGCCCATCTAAAGCACCGGGCCTGGTGGCTGGGCAGCTGTGGCAACCCGCTGGCCTTCTCCGCAGGGTCGGTGGTGCTGGCCCAAGAGGATGAGCTGGCCATGTCCCTGCAGTTCATGGACGTGAGCGGAAGCCCCCGCTCCTCCGTGGAGGCCAAGCTGGAGGGGCTGAAGAGCAGCTTCGTGGAGAACCCCCAGTACTTCTGCAACACCCGTACGTCCTCCGGGCCGGCAGGGGGGGGGCGGGCTGCACTGCCGGGGGGGGGGGGGCAGGGGAGCCCCACTTCTCCGGCCCCTCCTGCTGCCCAGCTGGGCTCCCTCACCGGGAGGAGGGCGGCCACCTTCTTCCCACCCGCGGCCCAAGAGGGCTCCTGCCCCCCCCCTCTGACCTCCCCATGGACGCTCCCTTCCTCCCCCCCAGCCGTCCGGCACCTGAAGCGCCGGGAGATCGTGCTGAAGTGGGAGCTGGGCGAGGGGGCTTTTGGGAAGGTCTTCCTGGCCGAGTGCCACAACCTCAGCCCCACCCAGGAGAAGATGCTGGTGGCCGTCAAGGTGAGGACCCCTCCCCTCTTTCTCTCTCGCCCCTCTGGGTCTGGGGGAGGGGCTGCCTGGAAGGACCCCCCAGGTGGGTCCCCTGGTCGTTTCGGTTTGGGACCCCGAGTCTCCTCGCTGAGCACCCCCTCCCTCCCTCCCTCCGGAGACCCTGAAAGAGGCGACCGAGAGCGCCCGGCTGGACTTCCAGCGGGAGGCGGAGCTGCTGACCGTCCTGCAGCACCAGCACATCGTCAAGTTCTACGGGGTCTGCACCGATGGGGAACCCCTCATCATGCTCTTCGAGTACATGAAGCACGGAGACCTCAACCGCTTCCTCCGGTGAGTGGGACGCCCAGCAGCCGGTGAGGGAGGGTGATGCTCTGCGTATCCCTCTCTCTCTTTCTCTCTCCTTCCCTCTCTCTTCCTCTTTCTCTCTCTCTTTCTTCCTTCTCTCTCTCTTTCTCTTTCTCTCTTCCTCTTCCTCTCTCTCTCCCTCTCCCTCCTTTATTTCTCTCTGTGTCTCTCTCTCCTTCCTTCTCTCTTCCTCCTTCCTTCTCTCTCTCTTTCTCTTCTCTCTCTCTCTTCCTCTTCCTTCCTTCTCTCTCCCTTTCTCCTTCTCTCTTCCTCCTCCTCTCTCTCTCTCTCCTCTTTTTTCCTCCTCTCTCTCTTCCTCCTTCTCTCTTTTTCTTCCTCCTCTCTCTTTCTCTCTACTTCCTCCTCTCTCTCTCCCTCCTTCTCTCTCTCTCCCTCTCCCCCCTCTATTTCTCTCTCTGTCTCTCTCCCTCTTCTTCCTTCTCTTTCTCTCTCACCTTTCTTCTCTCTTCCTCCTTCCTTCTCTCTCTGTCTCTTCTCTCTTCCTCTTTCTTCCTTCTCTCTCTCTTTCTCCTTCTCTCTTCCTCCTTCTCTCTTTTTCTTCCTCCTCTCTCTCTTCCACCTCCTCTCTCTCTCCCTCCTTCTCTCTCCCTCTCCCTCCTCTATTTCTCTCTGTGTCTCTGTCTCTCTCTCTCTCTCTCTCTCTCTTCTTTTTCCAGAGGTTGGGTCGGTGTGGCCCACAACTGTCCCACCTTGTTCCTCCTTTCCACCAGCTCCCCCTCCCCGCCCTGCGCCTCTTCTCCCCCCCCCCTTCTCCATTACTGGAGCAGCCTCCCCAGGCTTTCCCTCCCTCCCTCCCTCCCCTGCTAATGCAATCTTCCCTTTGCAATATTGATTAGATTAGTTGTCTGAAAGGCTCAAATTGAAGGGGATTGGCCATCAGCTGGAATAATCGGAGGCTCTTTCGATCGGCCCCCAGGTATTGCCCGTAGGCGAGAGCTGCCAGCCTCCCTTGGACGGGCAGGGAGAAGCGCAGCTCGGAGCCTTACGGTGATAAGACCTGGCATTAATGGAGGGTGGAGGCTGGGGCGTCGCCCGCCTCTGTCAGCCGGGTTTTGTGTCAAGGAGGAAAAAACGGAGCTCTTCTTGGGGAAACGGCCCTGGGCTCGCCCTCCTGGGGGGGAGGGGGGTGTCCCGCAGACCCCGGGGCAGAACCAAAGGATGCCCAGCCGTCTTAGGCTGCAGGAGACCGGAAGTGCCCCTCGGCTGACCTCCCTGCCCCTCCGTGGCTCCTTCTGATGGAACCTGAAAGAGTTGGGGGTTTCTGCGTCTGCATGACTGACCTTCTCTGGTGGGCGCGTGGGGGAAGAAAGACCCCCTTCTTCCCCCCCTCTCCCTCAGCTGCAACCCTCCCAAATCCTCCCCTGGGGATCAGGTTTCCGGGTGTAAGTTGGCCAAAGCAGAGTAGAAGGGGGGCCAGGAAGGAGCCATTGGGGAGGATCGAAGCGGAGGAGGGTCTCACTCCCCCCCCCGACTCCTTCCGCCTGGCAGGTCGCACGGGCCTGATGCCAAGATGCTGGACAACGGGAACGGCCAGTCCTTCGGCCAGCTGACCCTGAGCGAAATGCTGCAGATCGCCACGCAGATCGCCTCCGGCATGGTCTACCTCGCTTCCCAGCACTTCGTCCACCGGGACCTGGCCACACGCAACTGTCTGGTGGGACACGGCCTGGTGGTGAAAATCGGGGACTTTGGAATGTCGCGGGACGTTTACAGCACCGACTATTACCGGGTAAAGGTGGTGGGGGGAGAACCTACAGCCTTCGGGAGGGGGGGATTCAGGGCCGCCACCCCCCTCCCTGACCATGGGCAGACTCCCACCCTCTGTGCCCGATTCAGAGTCTGCTGCCTTCCTGTGGACTCTGCCAGTCCTGCTCGGATGCCCCTCTCTGCTGGCTGGCACCTGGTGCTCCTCTTTGCCCACCACGTGGGAACCTCTCAGCTTCTTGGGGGCTCTGAGCCTAGACCCCCCCCCCGCCCAAGATGCAAGAGGGATCCTGGCCAACTGTGCCAAGGCCTCTGGGGCTCATGACATGCTCGGAGGGGGGCTTTGCCAGGGAAAACTGGCATTTTGGGGTTCTCTACAGGGCTGGCCGCTCTGGCTCCCCTACTCTCTCGCAGGCAGGGGGAAACTGGCAGGGCCCAGTCCTCCCTCCCTCCCTCCCTCTCTTTTTCCCTCTTAGTTTCTCCCCCAGCCCCTATCCATATTTAATGGGGCCTGGGGTGGAAAAACCTATAAGCACTTAGCCAGTGGAAAGACGGGGGGGGGGCAGGGATCTGCTATTTAATGGTTAATTAAAAGCGGGGGGGGAGGCACGGAGCAAGGAAGCAGATGGAGACAGCAGGGGTCCCAGCGAGGAGGAGGAGGAGGAGGAGGGGGCATCTTGGTTAAGTGGACCTGCTGAAAGGCTCCTGGCCCATCATGCCCATCCCCAAGGCTGCCAATGCCCCACAAACACAGTGAGGGTGCTGAGTGCCCCTCCTGACTGGCATCTTTTCGGCGTCCTGCCCCTGTGCCCTCCATTCTTCCTGGCAAGAAATATGCCCGGTTCAGACCCCCTGCCGTGGTATCTTGCTGCCATTCCCCATCCCCTGGATCTGACCCCGTGGCCCCTCTTGCTTGCCCCCCCCCCCCCGCCCCAGCCGCTCACCCCTTGCCTCCCCCTCTCCAGGTGGGGGGCCGTACCATGCTCCCCATCCGCTGGATGCCCCCCGAGAGCATCCTGTACCGCAAGTTCACCACCGAGAGCGACATCTGGAGCTTTGGCGTGGTCCTTTGGGAGATCTTCACCTACGGGAAGCAGCCGTGGTACCAGCTCTCCAACACGGAGGTAAGGGGGGGGGCTGTGGGTGGGAGATGACGGGAGGGGGACATATTGCCCACCCCCTCTTGCTCCCTATGCTTGTGGACGGCTTTGCAGGGAGGGTGGTTTTGGGGGTGGGAGAAGTGAAGGAAGCTTCCCAGACTGCAGGAGGGTCAGCTTATGGGCAGACGACACCCCAGGAGGGAAAGGGGAAGGGCTGGGTGAGTCCCTAGCAAATGGGGAGGAGGGGTCTCTCTTCCCCAGGTGAGCCAATCAGAGGTATTGAGCAGGTTCCGACCAGTTCTGGAGAACCGGTAGCGGAAATTTTGAGTAGTTGGGAGAACCGGCAACTACCTCTGGCTGGCCTCGCCCACATCTATTCTCTGCCTCCCGAGTCCCAGCTGATCGGAAAGAAATGGGGATTTTGCAGTATCTTTCCCCTGCCACGCCCACCAAGCCACGCCCACAGAATTTTGAATCCCACCACTGGAGCCAATCCCAGACTTCCCTGCACGGAGGGGCCACTTTTAAGTTTCCCCGGATGGGAACCTTCCCGGGAGAGGAGAAAGGGGCCGGCTTCTGGAACCGAGCAGGCCGTGCGCAGGCAGGGTGGCTCTGGGCCCGTGGGGCTTCGGAGTAGTCGCCCAGGCAGCCATGCTGGCCCCTCTCCCGCTTTGCAGGCCATCGAGTGCATCACGCAGGGCCGGGAGCTGGAGAGGCCGCGCCCCTGCCCCTCGGAGGTCTACGACATCATGCAGAGCTGCTGGCAACGGGAGCCCCACCAACGGCAGAGCATGAAGGCCATCCACAGCCGCCTGCAGACCCTGGTCAAGGCCCCCCCGGTGTACCTGGCTATTCTCAGCTAAGGGGGAGGGGGAGAAAGGGGGAAGCCCCCCCAACGTCTCCACCCACCCATCCATCCATCCATCCAAGCAAGAAATTCAACCCATGCAAGACCCCTTTCCTGAACTCTGCCCGCTCCTTCCGGACGGTTTCCTGGCCGGCTGCAGGCAGGGCTGAGAAGCAGCCCCCTCCCCACCTTCTGTATATAAAGGCTTGTTTAGGGAAAGAGACCCTGACCCGCTGGAAGAGACCCTGGGGCCCCCATTCGCTGCCTCTTGGATGCTGGGCAGCTGCCAGGCAGACCCAGGAGGGAGGGAGGTGAGGCGGGGAAGCCACTCAGCTTCGTCCGGGGTGACGTAAACCTGCTTCTCCACAAGACGATGGGAGTGACTCTCTCCTCCAGGCGCCTCCGGGGAGGGGGGGTGTCAGAGTGGGCCCCCCCCAGGAGAAAGGCTGCGGCTTCCACCTTCTTATTTATTGTCCTCAGCTGTAAACCTTCATTGTAATAAATAAACTTTTCCTGGCAGTGGGGAGGGGGCTCTGGGGGAGTCAGACCAAAGACCACCTGAGGTTCAGAAGGGGCTGGCAAAGGATGACAGACAGCCCCCCCTCCTCCAGGTCGATTGAGACCCCCCCCCCCAGAAGCCCCCAGTGAGGCATGATCTCAACCCAAGCTAAGCTCGGACTTTGCATATTGCATCCGAAATGAACTGCTTCCCCCCCCTTACATACAAGGTGGGCTGAAGCCATAATCATGGTGGCTTGTTGGGCAAAGAGCCCCCCCTGTCCCCTCCACCCCCTGCCTGCCTTTGTTGCCCCCCCCCTTGCTGGCTTTTCACACCTTGTGAAGCTTTTGACACTTTCTCAGACGACAAGACCCGGTGTGGCGTTGGCCCCCCCAGCTCCGAGCGATGGCTGTTTGAGAAAGCGCCTTTCGAAAGATTAGCGTGCAGGACAATCGGTCCCTTCCTCAGAACAGGCCCCCTCCCCAAAAATGGGCTCCTCCGTGTGCCCAAGTCTTAAAGGGGGTCCGGGGGTGAAACACATTTTTCCAGGCAGAAGGGATTAAGGGATGGCATTTAATTGGAATATGGACCCCCCTCCCACCCCCCAATAGAGGGATTAGGCTCTGTTGGAGGGGGTCCCTCCCTCCTGTCCCCCCCCCCATTTCTAAGCACTTAATATATCAGCTAGGCTGTAAACTGGGCAGCCCCTCTTGTCTCCCCAACGGGTGGGAATCCGTCCCCAGCAGCCCAGAAGGGCCCCTGGCCCTCAAAGGAGTTTGTGAGGGGGGGGGACGTCTCCCCTAGGCTGAGCTCTTGGTGTTAGATGTCTGTGTGAATTGGAGGAAGATGCTGGAAAGACCCTGGGCTGAAGGATGAAATAAAACCTCTCTGATTCATTCATATCTTTGGGGGAGACGCGTCTGCCTTTTTTCCCCCCTCCATTCAGGGCTGGGGAGGGGACCCCCCAAACCCTCATTGTCTGCCCTGGTTTGTGGGGTGCAGGTGGGGCTTCCCTTGCTTGCTCCAAATGAGGGGGTGCCAGGCAAAGCCAGGCCCTTTGGCCATGGGGACAGTTTCTCTCCCCTCCCCATCTCGGCCTCTTCGCAGCACAAAATCTCCTCTAAAAACCGGAGATTCACAGAGGCATAAGATCCTTTGGAGCCTCTGCTGAGTGTGGGACCCCCTAATTATGGGACTCCGGAAAGATCCTGTCCCCCAGGATGGGGCTCCCTTCTCTTAACCGCTCCGACTCTCACGATGCCTTTCCCAGCATTATGTGGCCCAAATCTTCCCGGTAACGGAAATCTATTTTTCCATTTCTGGAATGAGAGGCCAGACCTGGAGGCTCTTTCTGAGTGATCTCTCCCAGGGATCTCTCTGGTCTCGAGGCAGGGGGGATCCAGTTCATCTTCACTTCTTTCTCTGGTTCTTCATCCCCCCCCCCCAGAAGGTTGGCTTTCCGTGGAGTCTGCTGGGTCTCCGACAAAGGAACGGGGTCCCATTCTCTTCTGTTTCCCCCCCACTTGCCTCCCCACCCCTTAGCGAACCCCCCCCCCATGCAAAGGCGCCCCCTGTTCCTTCTGCCCACCAGATCTGGGCAGGAGATCGTTGGGATTCAGCTGCCAGCCTCGTCTCTGCCTTTCTCGGCTGATTGGGGGCGACAGGAAGAGTGATTGGCCCCCCGAGAGAAAGAAAATGCACACCTTCATCTAATCAAAAGCCTTTATTGAATCCTCGGTAATCACATCTGTGTGGAAATGGGGGCAGCCACTCATGCCCAGCTGGGCTCAGCGCAGCCTGGACGGGCCTAATGGGGCCGAATTGATTTCATCTGAGTGATGAAGAGGGCAGTTTCCTTGTCGCCAAAGGCGAGGCGCGGGAGAGGGGGGGGGCAGCGGTCTTTGGCTCAGAGTGCCAGCGGAGGTCCCTCCCCGCTCAGGGGCAGAGCGGGCACCAAGGGCCTGCTGAAGAAGGGTAGTGCCCAAACCACAAGTCGATTTCTGCCAACCCCAAGAAGAAGAAGAAACTCGGCAGCGTGGCACGCGATGCTCCCTCAGATGGTGGGAGTGACGCTTGCATCCTTGGGCCAAACTTGGCAATGCCACAATTGGCAGAGCCGAGGTGGCGCAGTGGTTAAATGCAGCACTGCAGGCTACTTCAGCTGACTGCTAGTTCTGCAGTTCGGCGGTTCAAATCTCACCGGCTCAGGGTTGACTCAGCCTTCCATCCTTCCGAGGTGGGTAAAATGAGGACCCGGATTGTTGTTGGGGGCAATATGCTGACTCTGTAAACCGCTTAGAGAGGCCTGAAAGCCCTATGAAGCGGTATATAAGTCTAACTGCTATTGCTATCTGTGGAAGAAGCAGGGCATCTGTGGGTCACAGAGGCTCTAGGATACTGATACTCAGTTGTGGGTTCGAAGGGAGCAAGGACCAGCAGGCTTTCCAGGAGACCAGCTGCGCAATGGGGGAAGGAGGGGGGACGTAACCAGCCAGGGCATCTCTTTAAAACCCCTGAAAGTGGGCACTGGCTGAGCTGCGGATGAACCCCGGGGCTTCTCTCTGCCCAGGCAGACGGGGGTGAAGCTCGACTGAGCCCCTGGGAAGCCTCTTCACTGTCACTGCCCTGGCAGCCATGCCACCAGCATGAATCTTCCTCCCCACCCCTGGGCTGGGGTGGGAAAAGTCCCCGCGGAGACGAGCAGGGGATGGCATAGAGTTTCAGACTGCATCTCCCGGCTGAGTTTGCGGTATTGATAAATGACACCAAGCCACACTAGGGGGGGGGGGAGGAGATGAGAGAAGAGAAGGCGAGGGGGAGCAAGGGGCAATTAAGAGGGGGCTTCCCTTGGGCCCTGATATGGAGGGGGAGACAGAAGGAGGGAGGGGCTGCAGGAAGGAAATAAGGGGTTGATGCCCCCATTTTGCTCTGGGTAAGCAGGAGGTGGGGGGGAGTGCGGAGGAACCCCTTTCCTTTAACCAAAGATTAGGGATCATGACTTGCAGGGACACAGTGACCCCCCAAAGAGGGCCAGAACCCCTAAGATACGTCTCCTCCACCAGCAGGAAGAGAGGAATCTAAAGCAGGTGGGGAGGGGTCTTCTGAATATTGACCGAAGCTCTGCCGTTGCTGTTCCAGAGACCTTTTAACTCCCCCCACAACATCCCCTTGGCAGCGAAAGCTGAGGTGCCCCTCCCACCCCCACTGGAAAGGGGTCTAGCCAAGCAGCGGAGGGGAGAGAGAGACACACAGGGCACCCACTGGGCAGGAGAGAGGGAGACATGGAGGTCTCCCCAGGAGAGGAAAGGGGGAGCCCCCCCCCGTGTTTGTTTACTGATGGAAGTCCTGCGGGGGTCCTGTGGGAGGGGCTGGGCAGGCTCCAGACGGTTTTCCATTTCAGCGGAGTTGCAGGGGGGGGGGGGCTTAGAAGTTCTTCGGTTGCCTCCAGCAGAAGAGAGCTGGGGGTGCAGGAGGGAACAGCCAGCCGTCTCTTTGGGGAGGGTCTCTGGCCCACTCCCTACCCCACCCCCATCTAGCAGCCCCAGAAAACCAGCTGGCAGAGGAGAGGCGAAGAGGCTGCCTCAGGTAACCTCACCTGGCTCAGGTCCCCTCCAGGCATTTGGCAGCCAGAACTACAAGGCCTCCTGCTGCCCCTTTCTGCCCCCGGGGGGGGGGGCTGATTCTCCACTTCCTTACACCCCCCCCAAATCATCACTAAAGGACCGTAGAATGAAAGTCCTCTCTGCTGGGGGGGGGAGTGGAGTCAGGAAGTGCTGGAGCTGCACTTGCAGGTTCCTGAGGTGGGGGTGGGGCTAAGGAAGCCCCAGAGGTCTGGAGCAGCTGGCTGAGGTCCTGAAATGCTCCCGGGGGTGGTGGTGGTGATGGCCCTTTGATGGCCCTTCTTCCTCCTCTCCCTCCCTCCACCATGCAACACCCAGGAGAAGCCCATCCATCAAGGGCCCCCTCCCCTTCGGCCGGGCTAATTGAAACTAATGGCCGCCCCCGGTGATGGGAGATGGCCTGGCAGGGAGGCTGCACCTCTGGAATGCGGAAATCGTTACCAAGTTCTTAGGCGAAGGGGGGAAGCAATTAGGAAGGACGGTGTGTGTGTGTGTGTGACATCTGTCCTCTGCAGCTGGGGAAGCAGCTGGAGGGGCCGGCCTGGGAATGACAGTCCAGGCAGGAGAATATAGACCCTCTGGATGCAGGAGGTTCCCTCCAGGGCCTTCAGAAAGGGACCCCTCCCCTGGCTCCAGCAAGACCCCCCCCACACACACTGACCGGCTGCCCAGACCTCGGTCCAGGCTGCATTCCTTCCCCCCCCCCCATGGCTGATCTTGGTGGAACGTCCCGTCCGCCATCCTTGCATGGGAGCCTTTGCACGGGGGAGGGGTCCCAGCCCTCCCTTCAGACCCCGCCCCCTGCAAAAGGCCTAAAGGATGGGCCTGGGGTGGGCAGGGGCCCAGGATACTTTGGGGTCCTGGGGGAGGCCAGCCAGAGGGAACATGGACAGCTCAAGACGCTCTCAGATGAGATGTTTGTTTTTGTAACTAAAAAATAATAAAACTCTTTTTAAAAAAAGAGAGAGAGAGATTGAGACACTGTAAATGCGGCTGGGGAGCCTCCTCTGCAGGCTAAGCTCAGCTGGCACAGAGTCTCGGGGTGCCAAGCAGGTTGGCATAGCCTGGGATGGCCAAGGGTCTCTGGCGCCCCCTGGTGGAGGCCGAAGCAACTGGTTGTAGCCCTCAGCCACATCCCCTCTCCGTCCCCCCCCCCATCAATCCCGGCCCCTCCCTTCACAGCAGCAGCCTCTGAGAGACCCCCCACTCCTCTCAGGGGACCCCAACAAGAGGGGAAAATGGGGAACACGTTTACCAAAAGGGGACTTGGCTGACTGGCACGGCTGCCCCCTCCTGTGAGGGCAGGGCCGGGAGCTGTTCCGGGTGCTGAGTTCTAGCAATACTTAAAGCCCCCACCCCACCCCCATTTGTGTGTATCTTTCCTCCCACAGGCCCTGGGAAAGCCCCTCCCTGGATTCCTGCCGTTGTCCGCCCACCCGGTGTCAACCAGGGCTTCTTAAAATACTGGAGGGGTGCAGGGGATTAACTGGGATGAATCCCATGGTTGACGTCTTTGGGGGGGGGCGAATGGGGGGGTGATCTCTGCTTCACCCCTTGTCTTCGGGGAGGGGGCTCCGGAGACCCCCGGTTCCCCCCATGTTCAGCCACAGCTGCGTGGAAGTAGGGAACATTTCATTCCGCGGATCAAGGCAAACGTTTCGGGTGGCCGTTTCTGCCCAGGGCTAGATTTGAGAGAGGATGGGCGGCCCAAACATCCAGGCTCCCCGCCGTCCGTGGGATGAGGGAGGGGCGCTGTATCCCTCCCCCCAGCCACCCCCGATGCTTCCTGGGCCACCCCAGATCTTGCGCTCCGGCCGCTGAGCTGCTTTCAGGCGAGCTTCGCTGGGGAGAGTTTGCATCTTCCAAAGATTTGGGCTTCCTTGCCAAAAAAAATTACTCTTTTCCCCCCCGCTGTTGTTGCTGTTTCCCTCCATTCCGCTTCCCCGTCCAGGCTTCCTGAAGGCGCCAGCTGATCCCGGCCCCTTCCTGCCTCTCTGTCCCCGCTCCTCTCCCGCTGCCTGTTCCCTCTCCTCTTGCGCTCGGCTACCCAACGCAGCCTGGGAAGTCCCCGAAGGGCCGGGATGCCCCTCTCGCGACGGCTCCGGCCTCTGGCTGGACAAGAGGGGCTGCCGGGTCAGGAGCGGTGAGGACAGGCAGCCCACCGCCAGCGCCCGCTCCCTCACCCCGGCCTTCGGGTGGATCCGCCACAGGAGCCGAAGGAGGTAAGATTTTTGGGGGGTGAACCTGGAGATTGCGATGCCCGGGCACAGAGCTCAGCTGCCAACCAGGGCTTCCCCTTGGCCAGCTTGGAAGGGGGCACCTGGCTGGACTGCCCTTGCCTTGGCCCCCCACCAGGAGACTGTCCTCCCCACAGCAGACAGAGCTGGAAGTTTTGGCAGTTAGGTAGGTAAAATAATTAGTTAAGTTAAGTTAGTTAAGTTAGGTAGAGTAATCCTCCTTTCCTTCTGGGAAGTTGTGCTCCAAAGACTCTGGGGGTCTTTTAGCCCGGATGTGGCCCACCGGAAGCCTCCCTTGGGCCCCGACCCACTTGGGGGTCTCTGCTGGGAGCCCCAGGAGTCTCCCAAAGGGCTGCTGGGTTGAATGGGTGACTGTGTTGTCCGTGTGAAGGGGCCTCCGTGTGCCCAAAAGGGAGGGACGAAGGAGCCGACCTGGGCACCCCTGCAGCTGCACCCTTAAGCCCTTCCCTGGGAAAGACTCGGCCTTCTCCCGCCGGTCCTAGCAAAGAGCTCCCGTTCCCCCCCCCACACTGGGCTGGGTGGGGTCGAGGAGGTCCTGGGTTCAAGTCCCTCCAGCGTCCATTACTCATCCACCTAACATTCAGCCGCTCGTGGCGAAGGATCCGTTTGACGGGGCCGTCTAAAAATGCCCAGCGAAGTCACCAGAAAGGCTTATCTTTGGGCAGCAGATCTCTCCGGAAACCACCAGCCCTGACTCGCCAGGGGGAAGCTGTGCCCTCCGGAGACCAAGCAGGACTCAGCCTTGAGGGAGGGACCTGCTTCCCCCCCCCCCCGCCCGCAGGGATCACTTGGGGGGGCTGCAAAGAGCAGGAGGGAGGGAGGGAGGGAGGGAGGGGGTGTTTTGGGTTATTTCGGCCGAGGACTGGGAGAAGTGAACTTGGCTAGACTGCGAACTAACAGTTATCTGACTGAAGGGTGGGGGGCTCTCAGGAAAAAGGCCTCCATCTGCTCCCTTGGCCAGTCCGTTTCTGGGTTTCTCCCCACTGCAAGCCCCACATGGGCAGAGGAGCCCTGAGTGACCCCTGGAGAGGAGAGGTCCAGCGCGCCTTTCAAGCCTCTCCCGAGCACCTTTGGCTGACATCCCTCCTCACTCCTTTCCGATAAACAGGAAGCAGGATGGAAGTCCGATGAGGCTTCGGGGGTGTAAACAGGAGCTTTCTATCTGTGGGGCAGGAAAGAGGGGAGGGAGGGAAGAGCAAGGAGGACACTTTCCCCCCCTCCTGCCTCCAGAACAGGGGCTGGCACCGCTGCGGCGTTTGGGGAGCAGGGGGGATTTTTAAATTGGTATCACAGCCGTTGTTCTGCTCCCCTTTGGGGACAGGGACTGGTGACCCTCTGGGGTGCCCATGCCAAGCTGTGCAACGGAGGCCCCGGAGATGCCCTGCCTGCCTGCCTCTCCCGCCAGGCCTGCCTTTTCCTGCCAATCTCCTGCCTCTCTCCTCTCCTGCGGTGGCTTGAATGCCCAGGTAGCTCTCTCGGGATGAAGTCATGGGCACTGGCCGGGCCAGGCATCGAGGCAGCTGCGGAGGGGACGAAGAGGCCCCGGGAGGCCTCATCCCCCAGGCTCTTCCCAGGGCCTTGAACCCAGGGCTGGAGTCCCCTCTTCTGGGGGGCAGAGCAGGCCCAATCTCCTCTCTGCCAGGGGGAGCCGTGCCCCTCCCGCTGTGGGGCCCCCACTTGTGCCTTGTTTCCAAATCACTTGAGACTCCCGAGAGATGAGGGCTTGCAAGCTCCCGCTCCCCCCTCTGGCCAAACAGGCCCCATCCATGATGCGGAAAGGAGGAGGGGAGTCCAGGGTGGGCTCTTGCAGCCCCCAAGACATCCCTTCGTCTTCCGAGAAGCCTCTCCTGCCATCGAGTCCATGCTGGCTTCCCCTCTTCCCACGCAGGGATCCTCCGGGCTGCNTCTTTCTTTCTTTCTTTCTTTCTTTCTTCCTTTTTCTCCTCTCTTCCTGGAGGAGTGATTGGCAAGGACTCTCCATCCCTCAAAGAGAAGGAGGGGTTGTGCCAGGGGGAGGGCCAGGGTCCCCTCTGCAGCCCGATGAGCTTTGCCCATCCAGAGAAGAGCCTCCAATCTTGGCCACTTTCAGACTTGTGGACTTCAACCCCCAGAATTCCCCATCTAGCACCAGCTGAGGAATTCTGGGAGTTGAAGTCCACCAAGTCCTAAAATTGCTACGTTTGGAGGCCCCTGACCCAGGTGTGATCAGGGTGGCCTCCGGACAGGCGGGGCTGACCTTTGGCTCCTGGGCCTCTGTCCGAATTGCCGTGTTCCTCAATTAAACGATTCACAGGCCTCCCCGATCACCCCCTCACCGTGGTTCCCGCTTCGCCAGCCGCCAACAGCCCCTCCCTGGGGGCCGTGATTGGCATCGTCATCCTGGCCGCTTTGCTGGCAGCCGTGCTGGGGCTTTTCTTCTGCTACCGGCGCTTTCAGAAGGAGAAGGAGAAGCGTCACGTCTCCGTGGCCTACACCACAGGGGGGATGGACAGTTCGGAGTACGTCGTCCCGGGTGAGCTGGGGCTGGGCACAGGAGGAGGGCCGGGACCGAGTTAAAAGAGGAGGGGCGACCACCGCGTGCCAACCTCTGTGCCTGGGCTGGCACGAGCACCCAGCACGAGTGCGAATCCCCGGGGCCTTTCCTAGAACACGAACTCTTCTCTTTCCAGATGTGCCCCCCAATTACACCCATTATTATTCGAACCCCAGTTACCACACCCTCTCGCCCTGCTCCCCCGGCTTCTGCATCCCAAGCATCCCTGATCATCCTGGGAAGGTGAGGCTCTCTGCTCCCCCCCCCCTCTCCCAATGACTCTCTTCCCCCCTTGAGGAAAGACCCAGCTCTGCTGGATAAGTGGGGGGGGGGTTCCCTCCATGACCATGAAGAGGCGGGTTGGGGGGGCAGGAGTTGGCATCCAAGGGGCTCCCATACCAGAGCTGACCCCAGAATCTGCACTCCCTAAGAATTGAAAGCTTCAGGCTTTCTCCTTCTGCTGGGGGGTCCTCGGTTTATGCCACTTTATTCCATTTTCCTGGAATGAGTGCCCCCCCCCGCCGCCCCCTTTCTATGGGGCTGCTCTGCCTGATTCGAAGGCTTCTCCTGCAGCCCTTCCTCTCCCAACGTTTTCTCCCACCCGCAGAGTCTGGAGCGGGACTGGCCAGGGCTGTATGGGGCCGACTGTAACGCCACTCTCCCCAGCAACTGGAACCGCCTCCGGGGGAGCCCCCCCCAGGGTGAGTGCTGGCAGGTCCTCCTCTGAAGGGGGGCAGGGAGGGGAAAGTACCACGCCGGCTCCCCCCCCCCTTTAAGCATCCCACCTCCTCCCCCGTAGACCTTGGCCCCAATTGCTGCTCTCCTGCAGCCCCCGGAAGTGCTGGGCAAGGTGTGGATTCTGAGCAGCTGCCCCTCCCTGGCAGACACAAATGCCCCCCCCCCTTTCAAAGAGATTCTCCAGAACCATCTCTTAGAAAGACTTCAGAAAGAGGGAAAGACCCTTATTTTTTTCTTTAAAACTAAGATATGTTAAGTATATTGATATGGAANTAAAATTTTCCTATGTGGAAAACCCCCAGCAGCCTCAAGCCGTGAGAAACTGACCGGGGTCAGGCCTGGGCTTAGGAAAAAAGATTCCAGAGTTGCAGAATGGAGTTTGTGGCAGGCGGAGGGGGCTTAAAATCGCAGTGCCCCCCCCTCCCAGAGCCAGGATGGTCTCCCAGCTTTGGTTTCAAGCCGAAACAATATTCTCCGTATCTCTAAGCTGGGACTTTGGAGCCGAAGGAAGAGGAGAAAGAAGAAGGGAAATCTGGTCTTCTGTCTCCTGCCTCAGCTCAGGTCTCCCACAGCGCCTGGATGGAGGCTTCATCCAGGCCCCTTGAGCGTCTCCAGGCCTCACAGGCAACGCCTCGTGAGTCGCTCGGCTTCCGGCCAATGCCAGCCAGGTGTGGGGTTGGACTAGATGACCTGCAAGGGCCCTTCCAACTCTGTTAACCCCACACACACACATTTCCTTCTCTGCTCCTCCACGCATGTTGGACAGCTCCTTTCCCACATCAAACCTCTTGCTGGGCCGGGCTGTTTTCCTGGAGGCTGCCTCTCTTGTTCCGTGGGGAGACAGTTCCAAGGACGGGACCGTTTGGGGTCTCCGTGTTGCTCCGGCCTGGACCCCAGCCTCTCCACCGAGGGAGCCCCAGCTCTGCCTGTTTCCTGTCTTCGCACAGGCCTCCCAGTGTTTGTGGACGTCACGCTGGGAAAGTGGCACGAGGGAGGGAGGGAGGGAGGGAGAGGGAGGGGAGGGCAACGTTAGGTGGTGTGAATCCAAATGCCTTCACAATCGCCATCAATCCCTCCGTCTCAGGATGATGGCTTATCGTTACTCCCTGCTGGTGCTGTGGCTGCAGCTGGATCGGGCCCTGTCTCTCAGCTCCAGCGACCCCAACGTCTGCAGCTACTGGGAAAGGTGAGACCCCTCGCAAGGCAGGCAGGCAAAGGTGGGGGTGGTGCGTCCCCTCCCCAAAATGTTTTTTGGGAAGTGCTCCCTTCCCCATTTCTCCCCTTGTCCTGGACATGTCACCCCCCTGCATTTGAGTGGTGGACGAGCCCCTTCCCCACAATTCAAGCTGCCCTCGTTCCCTCCCCCCCAGTTTCACCACCGTCTCCAAGGAGTCCTTCGTGCAGCCCTTCACCCAGGAGTCTCCGGAGCCCTGCAAAAGCCCAGCGTGGCTTCGGACGAAGAGCTGCCCTCAGTACAGGTCAGCACGGAGCGCTCCCCCCCAAACTCCCCCCATTGACAAGCGGGGGGGGGAGCCGAGGCTGGGCTGTGGCACGGAGCCCTGCTCTCCCCCAGCGGCCTTTTCTCTCGGCCCTTGCAGAGTCCTGTACAAGACGGCCTACCGCCAAGGCATCAAAGTGGAGTACCGGAGGCGCTATCACTGCTGCCAGGGCTTCTACGAGAGCAGCGACGCCTGTGTCCGTAAGCCCATCTCTCCACGGTGATCCCCCCCCACCCCCGTTGAGCCGCTGCGGAAGGGGAGACGGTCTGCACACAAACAGCCTCAGGAAGCCCAGCAGGGCCAGTCCTGGGGAGGGATGGGAGACCAGCAGGAGATCCCCCGGGGCCAGAGAGCAGAGTGGGACCTATCGAAAGGTCCTGGAAGCTGCTTCTGCATTTCTGTTGAGCAAACCGCCGGGATTTCCCACCCCTGGGGCTGGGCGCAGGAGGGGCGAGAGCCTCTAATTCCCTGAAGTCCTATGGGGGGAGCAGCTCCGGAGGTCAGGCAGGGACTGGCAGGCGATGCGCTCTTTCTGCCCCGCAGCTCGGTGTGCCCAGGAGTGCGTGCACGGCCGGTGTGTGGCCCCAGACCAGTGCCAGTGCGAGCAAGGCTGGAGGGGCACAGACTGCTCCAGTGGTGAGTCACCCCCTTTGAGCCAGTCCTCGGGGCTCGGAGTTCAGGAAGGAAGGCCTGGAGCCATGGGGGGGGGCTGTTCAGAGAGCAGAGGGGCCGGACCACAAAGAGCGTCAGGAAACGGAGCAGCCTTGGGGCAGATGCTGGCCAGGCCTTCCCCTTGGCGAGACCTGCTCATTCAGGGCACTTGACTGAGGCACATTCGGAGTGAGGGGGCCCCGAGCCCTCTGGCCTTCCCGGGATGGCAGACAATGATCCTTGAAGCACGTTGGATCGAGTCCCCAGGATACCTGCAGGTTGCGCAGCCAATTTTTCTCCCCTCCAGAGTGCAGCGACCGATCCTGGGGGCCCACCTGCCAAAGCCCCTGCACGTGCGTGAACGGAGGCAGCTGTGACCCCCTGACTGGGGCCTGCACTTGCCCCCCTGGCTACCGTGGGCAGGAGTGCCAAGAGCCCTGTGCCACGGGGACCTATGGCCAAGGGTGCCAGCTGGATTGCCATTGCCAGAACGGAGCATTCTGCAGCCACAGGGACGGCGCCTGCTTCTGCTCTCCCGGCTATGCTGGGCCACAGTGAGTGGAGGGGGGGGAAGGCAGGGCAGAGATGATGAGCTGGGGCGTTTTGGGGGGCAGAGCGAGGGGCTGGCACCAGAGACCTGGGGGCATCAGAGCAACACCGCTGGTGAGTTTTTCAGCACCAGAAATTGCAGAAACTAACTGCCCTCCCTGGAGTAGCTTCACCTACCTCGGACTGGAGACTATGACGTACCTCAGGGGTCCCATCCAGAGGAACTTAAGTCTTGTCCAGTTGGGTGGGTGAAACCTTGTGGGGGGGAGAGGTCTAGAGGGGCTGTTCTGACTGCCCCTAATGGACAGCCCAGCAGGCTTTGGGGCAGAATGGGTCTCTGGGAGGCCCATTTCCTCCTGGAGTGGACCACAGCGAGCCTGGTACAAGTGGGTAGAAGGTGGTGTGAGCCCATCCTGTGGACTGCCCCCCCTCTCTCTTCCAGCTGCGAGATCCTCTGCCCCAACAGCACCCACGGATTCCAGTGCCCAGCCTACTGCCCCTGCCAGAATGGGGGTGTCTGCCATCCCCCCTCCTCCAGCAAATGTGCCTGCCCTCCTGGATGGATGGTAGGTGGGCAGGGACAGGGAGATGCCCCCACCCCAACCTCTGAACCAGAAGCCTCCTCCAATCCCTTGCAGAGGGGCTGCGAAGTCCCGTCCCCCCCAATTCTTAGGGATCAATTCTACCTTCCTATTTCTGGGAAGAGAGAGAGAGAGACGGAACGGAGGAAGAGCTGTTTGGCAACCCTCTTCCCTGTGACAAAATCTCCTTCCCATTTGGGTCTGTGTTGTTGGTTGACCTTCCTCCGGGCAGTTTCTGACTCTTTTCCCCCTCACCCTCCACAGGGCGACATCTGCTCCACCCGGTGCCCCATTGGCCGCTTCGGTTCCAGCTGCCAGGAAGAGTGCCGGTGCCACAATGGAGGCCGGTGCAATCCTGATTCGGGCCAGTGCCGGTGTGCTCCAGGCTACCTGGGAGAGGAGTGAGTAGGCCCTCCGCAGTGCAGGGGAGCTTTGCGGGGGGGGGGGCTTGTCAGTCCTCGTAATGATCTTTCACAGGCCGCCAGCCTTCTGAGCAGGGCAGGCGTCTCGTTTCCGATTCTCCGTAAGGAAGTGACCCAATTCCACTTCTCAAGGGCCGCATCTGGGCCTTGGATCCCGTCCACCTGGAACCAGTTCAAAGAAGGTTCACTAAGATCTTCAGGAAATAGACAGGACGATACGGGAGAACCTGGGAAATTTCACACTCGCAACAGAGCTAAGGTCATCTAACATCAGAAAGTCCCACAAGGGAACGCCCGTTCTCCTTTGTGCGGGACACGCAGTTTCAAGGAGACAAAAGGTGCATTCCGCCGAGAAACTTCCTAACAATGGCTGCAGCTTGAGAAGGAAACCATTTTCCGCAGAGATGACGCTGGACGTGTGTGACGCGTCTGTTTCGGAGACCAGCTCCTCAGCCTGCAAAGGGAGGATTCTCCTCCCACCAAACTGACCTCCTGCCTTTAGCTGCGCCAGCCACCCGATGCCTTGGCATGATGCCCTGTGGCCACCCGCGGCACTTTCTGCCCGGCTGCGGTTGTCATTGACTGGGCCCTCTTCCCCGGGAGTGTCACGCCTGTCTGCCAAGGCCAATCGCCCCGTCTCTGCTAAAAGTAGCAAGGGCCCTTTATAAACCCGGCCAGCCTCCACGCAGGAATCCCCTTGCCAATTAGGCTGGCTGCGCTCAGCAGACGAGTCCGTGTTTCCCCCTAAGCTGCAAGAGGAAGGAAACTGTGCTGGTGCTGTCCAGGAATTGGGAACAATGGGGAAGGTGGAGGGAGACGCTCCTGGGGAAGGTTGAAGCGGCCGCTCCAACTCTGAGGAGGATGTGGAAGAGCTGAGGAGAGCACTTATGGCTCTCCTGAAGGTTGTGCAACGCTCTTGGCAGCCACGCCAAACCAAGCCCGTCTTGGAGAGGATTCCCTGCGGATCTGCGGTGGAATGTAGACCAGAGTTGCGGGAGGGAGGGGCTGTTTCCCAGAGGCCAAAGAGAGGGCAGAGCTTGGAATCTCTGGCAGGCAGGGAGAGGGCGAAGGTGGACCCTCCCTAGCAATTCACAGAGCATCTGTGGATCATTGCTTTACTCTAGCAAGATTCTGTCTCTAAGCAAACAGCTATGAAGAACTACTCAGAAGTGACTCTGCGTGTTCTTCTTGGTTCCTTGGGCTTGGCATGATCAAGGCCAAGAGGATACCTCTTGCAGTGGTGGTGGTGGGCTTGGGACAGACGTCCCCCACCCATCCACCCCCATTTTATGGGTTGTGTTGACACTAGACATGCTCTCGGACTGGCACTCTAGGCCAGCACTGCGGTTGACCGATGTTGGCAGATGTTGTACCTACCGTATTTTCTGTTCTCCACCCTCCCGCTCCTCCCCAAGATGCCGCGAGATGTGTCCCATCGGCAAATACGGCCAGGACTGCCAAGAGACCTGCGACTGCACCAACGGGGGCCACTGTTTCCACATCAGCGGGGGCTGCTTGTGTGAAGCCGGGTTCTATGGCAGCCGCTGCGAGGAGCGGAAGTGTCTCCCCGGGCTGTACGGCCTCAGCTGCCAGTTTCCTTGTCTCTGCGACCCTCAGCACACGCAGAGGTCAGTCCGGAGGCCCCCTTGTTTCCCTGGGGCATTTGTCCACCTCCCCCCCAACCCCCTGCAGTGGATGGGATAGATTGGGAAACCAGGTCCCTCAAGATAAGCCCACCGGGCGGGCCTCGTTTCTCGGCTTCTCCCCACAGCTGTCACCCCATCTCTGGGGAATGCGCCTGCAAGGCAGGGTGGGCCGGCCTGTACTGCAACGAGACGTGTCCCCATGGATCCCACGGCCTCCGATGCCAGGACCCCTGCCTGTGCCTGAATGGGGGCACTTGTGATGGGGAGACGGGCCGCTGCAACTGCCCACCAGGCTACACCGTGAGTATCTCTGGGAGTCTGGAGGGGGGGTGGCGTTTTCTGGGGCTCAGCTGGATCCCCAAACTGCTTTTACCTTGGGCAGGACAAGCACTGCTCCAGCCCCTGCCCGGACGACACTTTTGGGGTGAACTGCTCTCAGGAGTGCAGCTGCCGTAACGCCTTGGGCTGTTCTCCCGTGGAGGGGACCTGTTTCTGCAAGGAAGGTAGGATACCTCTGGGACGGGTGAGACCTTGGAAGGCGGGCAGAGCGATGCCGCCTGGGGGACAGACAGATAAAAGATGCCTGAGCCCGCAGCTGCATAATGGGCAGAGAAAGGGGCTCGGGAGGGACCCCCCGTAGCTTCCAGGGAGAGTCCTACTTTCAGCTTGGCAAGATTCCGTTACTGGAGCTTCACAATAAGGTTGAATGAGCTGACCTGGCTGTGCCCCTGTGTGGTGTACCTGGGAAGGAAGGCCATCCGTGAGCTGCTGGGACGGGAGATACCTTCCTTTGTGAGTTCCAACTGCTTGTGCCAGAGGAGGAGCGTGCAAAGGATCCAGAACTCACACCAGTCGCTGCCCACGAGGTTTCCTGTGAACCTCCCCCCCCATCTCTTATCCTTCCCTTCAGGCTGGCAGGGAGTGGACTGCTCTGCCCCCTGCTCTTCAGGCACCTGGGGGGCCGGTTGCAACCAGACCTGCCTCTGTGCCAACGGAGCAACCTGTGATCCCATCGACGGAGGATGCACCTGTGCGGCTGGGTGGCAAGGCAGTCAGTGCACGCAGCCATGCCCGGTAAGAGGGCAAAGAGCTTGGGTCCCTGCCTGCCTGGGTGTTGGGCTTACAGACCTTGAAGGACCTGCCTCTGGGTTCCCCCCAAGGGCAGCGTCCCTAGGGAGGAAGCAGCCCTGGGCGGTGGCCTTGAGTGGGGAAGTCAGAATAGGACATGGGAGCTGGAAGGGACCTGTGAGGTCTTCTAGTCTAGCAGGAGACCCTGAAGACCACAGACAGCAATCAGTCCACCAGAAGTAATGGGGTGGGGGGCTCTTTCTTCTTTCACCCTCCATCCTGCCCAGGGCTGGTTCTACGGCCTGGGATGCAATCGGAAGTGTTCCTGTGAAAACGCCGCTGGCTGTGACCCCGTCTCCGGACGATGCCGCTGCCTGCCTGGGTGGAAAGGTCAGGAGGGGGCTGGGTGGGCGGTTGGGTGGGCTGAGGCAGGGCTGGGGGGGGGCTACGATCCCACCTGCTGAAAGATGGGCAGGCAGAGCTGGCACAGAGGCCCTGCGGCCGCATGTAGGTGGGCATGGAGAACACTCTCCCCTTTCCCCCCACCAGGAACCCGTTGCAGCCAGCTGTGTGCGGAGGGCCTGTGGGGGGAGCAGTGCCGCCAGCTGTGCTCCTGCAAGAATGGGGCCAGCTGTTCCCCCAAGGATGGCATCTGCGAGTGCGCCCCAGGCTTCCGGGGGCCCACCTGCCAGCGGCGTAAGTGAACTCCTCTGGGGCAGCAGAATCCCCTCCCCTCCTCTGCAGACCCGCAGGCCTCCATTCTCACTGCTGCGGGGGGGAGACAGGCAGAGGAAAAGCAGCCCGCTTTCCAATTGCAATAACACACACCCCCCTCTGCCAAAACGCCTCTGAAATGCCAGTCTTGGCTGTTAAAGGCAAAAAATGGAAATCCAGCTGGTCTCTCCCTCCCTCAGAGCCACGCCGTCCCTGCCCACAGACTGACCTCAATCCCCTTCCCCTCTTCGCCACCCCCCACCCCAAATACAGCCTGCCAACCGGGCCGTTATGGCAAGAAGTGCTCCGTGCCCTGCAAGTGTGCCAACCACTCCATCTGCCACCCCGTGGACGGCTCCTGCGACTGTCCGCCTGGCTGGACGGGAAGAGACTGCACAAGACGTGAGTCCGATGGGCAGAAAGCTCAGGAAATCCAAGGATGCCCCTCTTCTGGGGTGGGGGGGAGGGGGTCCTGGAATGGGGCTGCCGCCCACTGGGCCCCTTGGCCAGGACTGGGCCTCCTCTGGGGGCGTCCCCACCTCACCCCCTGAATGCCATTTCCTGGGTTGGTGCCATCCGTGAATGCAGCACCTCCAATGTTTTTGCAGGCTGCGCTTCCGGCTTCTTTGGCAGCAATTGCACCTCCCGATGCCACTGCCAGCACGGGGCCCTCTGTGACCCAGGCACAGGGTCCTGCTCGTGCCCCTCAGGCTACACTGGTGCCCACTGCGAGACCAGTAAGCGTGACATCTTGTCCTCTCTTCTCCAACCTCTTCTGGGCCCTGGGCACAGGAATGGACGAAGTGAAAATAACCAAGAATTGGAATGGATTTCTTTCTTTCTTTCCTTTCTTCTTCTTTCTTTCTTTCTTTTCTTTCTTTCTNGGAAATTTGGGGCAATCTGGTTTAATTTTTTTATACTTCTTCAAATATTGAAAGAACTAACTCTGGTTATCTCTTTTCTCTTACCCTTTAGGAGGGTTACAGATTGCTCCTGGGGTCTGCGGAGGGCAAAATTGAACAAAAGATCTCCTGGTTACACTGCCACTTTGGTGAAGGGGGTGGGTTTTCAGGAGGCAAAAAATGCTGTATTCAGTGTATAAGATGCACCCAGATTTTCAGCCATTTTTTTGAGGGAAAAAGTTGTGTCTTATACTCTGAAAAATATGGTAGTTTGGAGAATCAGTAACTACCACCTCTAACTGGCTCCGCCCCCATCTATTCTCTGCTTCCTGAGTCCCAGCTGATCGAGAGGGAATGGGGATTTTGCCATAACCTTCCCCTGGAGTGGTGAGGGAATGGAGATTTTACAGCATACTTCACCTGCCATGCCTATCAAGCCATGCCACACCCACCAAACCAAGCCCACAGTACTGGTAGGTTAAAAAATTTGAATCCCACCACTGCACACTTCCTACTATAAAATATTTGTATATACTGGATGAATATAGAGAATCATTATTCGTTATGTAAGGAGAGAGAGTGGATTGTTTGCTCTTGGTGGGAAACATATTGGAATATATTTATAGTCTTTTATCCAAAACAAATTGGACAAAACATTGTCATGATAAAATTCTTCTTACCTTTGCCAGCCAAAAAATCCTCAAAAAGTATACTGAAGTCTTTTGGGGTTTCTGTTTCGGCGTTTAATTTTTGAAAATGGTATTTAGAAACCAAGACATCCTTTGGATTTCTAAGCACATAAATAATCTGTAAGAGAGAGATGATAATACCTAGTCAAAAAAACCAAGAGAAAAAGGAGAAAAAAGACAGATTGAAAGCAAAGCATACAGAAAGTTCATCAAGTAACTCTCACGCATTCATCTAACAGGCTCCATTCTATCACAGGATCCCAAAGCTCATTAGCAAAACCATATTTGAGAGCCTTCCAGCAGACCACAGGATTGGGGCCAACGTCAACTTGGGGGAAATTTTTTCCATATGGCAGACATCACAGAAGAAAAGCTTTCCTCCTGGATCCCGCCTGACAAATCTCCCTAGCGGATGGGACCCCGACATGCCTTTCCTGTTGGACTTGATGCAATGCATAGCTGCAACTGGGGAGGAGAGCTCCTTCAAATAACATGTTCCCAACTGATGAAGGGGTTTAAATGTCAAAACCAGCAACATGAATTGAATGTAGAAGCAGACTGGTTAGCAATGCAGTTTCCAAAGCAGAGGTGTAATGAATACAGTTCTAGAGAATAGACCAATTCCTGTTGTATCTGCATTTTGCACCAGTGAAGCTTCCACTGATTAGGACGTGAGTGAATGAGAGTAGAAATTGTGCAAAGGGATTTGAGGGATAAAAATAGCATTCCTCAACTTGACATCCTCCAGATATGTTAAGATCGCAACTGGACATGCAACACCAAGTGTTATGATCTACCTGGGTGTGTCACCTTGGGAAAAATAAGTTTAAGGGGTTTGATAATTCAGTTTGGTTGTTAGCTGTTTCTGCTGGGCATGACCTTCTGATATTAACACTGTTTTGTTTGTGTTTTTCCCCCCTCACACTTCAGAATTTGCTATTCCAACATACTGGAACAATATAATATTTGTTTGTGTACTCTTGCCTATTTGTTAATAAAACGTTCAGACACAGAGCTAAACGAAATGAATCCAGGCAGCTACCCACACTAGCTCACAAGTTAACAAAACATGTCCTACTTTTGCTCTTCTTTTTCGTACCAAATTGTAGGGCAGATGGGAACA